TATGGAGGTGACTAACAATCTTGGCTAGGAGGATTTTTAAGAAGGGAAATATGGAGGTGACTAACCATCTTGGCTAGGAGGATATTTTTTAGAAGGGAAATATGGAGGTGACTAACCATCTTGGCTAGGAGGATTTTTTTAGAAGGGAATTATGGAGGTGAGTAACCATCTTGGCTAGGAGGATATTTTTTTAGAAGGGAATTATGGAGGTGAGTAACCATCTTGGCTAGGAGGATATTTTTTAGAAGGGAATTATGGAAGTGACTTATCATCTTGGCTAGGAGGATATTTTTTAGAAGGGAAATATGGAAGTGACTAACCATCTTGGTTAGGATGATATTTTTTAGAAGGGAAATATGGAGGTGAGTAACCATCTTGGCTAGGAGGATATTTTTTAGAAGGGAAATATGGAGGTGACTAACCATCTTGGCTAGGAGGATTTTTTAGAAGGGAAATATGGAGGTGACTAACCATCTTGGCTAGGAGGATATTTTTTTGGGAGGGAAATATGGAGGTGACTAACCATCTTGGCTAGGAGGATAGTTATTAGAAGAGAAATATGGAGGTGACTAACCATCTTGGTTAGGATGATATTTTTTAGAAGGGAAATATGGAGGTGAGTAACCATCTTGGCTAGGAGGATATTTTTTAGAAGGGAGAATATGGAGGTAACTAATCATCTTGGTAAGGAGGATATGTTATTTAGAAGGGAATTATTGAGGTGACTAACCATCTTGGCTAGGAGGATATTTTTAGAAGGGAAATATGGAGGTGACTAACCATCTTGGCTAGGAGGATATTTTTAGAAAGGAAAATATGAACGTGACTAACCATCTTGGCTAGGAGGATATTTTTTAGAAGGGAAATATGGAGGTGACTAACCATCTTGGCTAGGAGGATATTTTTTAGAAGGGAAATATGGAGGTGACTAACCATCTTGGCTAGGAGGATTTTTTAGAAGGGAAATATGGAGGTGACTAACCATCTTGGCTAGGAGGATATTTTTTTGGGAGGGAAATATGGAGGTGACTAACCATCTTGGCTAGGAGGATAGTTATTAGAAGAGAAATATGGAGGTGACTAATCATCTTGGCTAGGAGGATATTTTAGAAGGGAAATATGGAGGTGACTAACCATCTTGGCTAGGAGGATTTTTTAGAAGGGAAATATGGAGGTGACTAACAATCTTGGCTAGGAGGATATTTTTTAGAAGGGAAAATATGGAGGTGACCAACCATCTTGGCTAGGAGGATATTTTTTAGAAGGGAATTATGGAGGTGAGTAACCATCTTGGCTAGGAGGATATTTTTTAGAAGGGAATTATGGAAGTGACTTATCATCTTGACTAGGAGGATATTTTTTAGAAGGGAAATATGGAAGTGACTAACCATCTTGGTTAGGATGATATTTTTTAGAAGGGAAATATGGAGGTGAGTAACCATCTTGGCTAGGAGGATATTTTTTAGAAGGGAAATATGGAGGTGACTAACCATCTTGGCTAGGAGGATTTTTTAGAAGGGAAATATGGAGGTGACTAACCATCTTGGCTAGGAGGATATTTTTTTGGGAGGGAAATATGGAGGTGACTAACCATCTTGGCTAGGAGGATAGTTATTAGAAGAGAAATATGGAGGTGACTAACCATCTTGGTTAGGATGATATTTTTTAGAAGGGAAATATGGAGGTGAGTAACCATCTTGGCTAGGAGGATATTTTTTAGAAGGGAGAATATGGAGGTAACTAATCATCTTGGTAAGGAGGATATGTTATTTAGAAGGGAATTATTGAGGTGACTAACCATCTTGGCTAGGAGGATATTTTTAGAAGGGAAATATGGAGGTGACTAACCATCTTGGCTAGGAGGATATTTTTAGAAAGGAAAATATGAACGTGACTAACCATCTTGGCTAGGAGGATATTTTTTAGAAGGGAAATATGGAGGTGACTAACCATCTTGGCTAGGAGGATATTTTTTAGAAGGGAAATATGGAGGTGACTAACCATCTTGGCTAGGAGGATTTTTTAGAAGGGAAATATGGAGGTGACTAACCATCTTGGCTAGGAGGATATTTTTTTGGGAGGGAAATATGGAGGTGACTAACCATCTTGGCTAGGAGGATAGTTATTAGAAGAGAAATATGGAGGTGACTAATCATCTTGGCTAGGAGGATATTTTAGAAGGGAAATATGGAGGTGACTAACCATCTTGGCTAGGAGGATTTTTTAGAAGGGAAATATGGAGGTGACTAACAATCTTGGCTAGGAGGATATTTTTTAGAAGGGAAAATATGGAGGTGACCAACCATCTTGGCTAGGAGGATATTTTTTAGAAGGGAAATATGGAGGTGACTAACCATCTTGGCTAGGAGGATTTTTTAGAAGGGAAATATAAAGGTGACTAACCATCTTGTTTAGGAGAATATTTTTTAGAAGGGAATTATTGAGGTGACTTATCATCTTGGCTAGGAGGATATTTTTTAGAAGGGAAATATGGAGGTGACTAACCATCTTGGCTAGGAGGATTTTTTAGAAGGGAAATATGGAGGTGACTAACCATCTTGGCTAGGAGGATTTTTAAGAAGGGAAATATGGAGGTGACTAACCATCTTGGTTAGGAGGATATTTTTTAGAAGGGAATTATAGAGGTGACTAACCATCTTGTTTAGGAGAATATTTTTTAGAAGGGAATTATGGAGGTGACTTATCATCTTGGCTAGGAGGATATTTTTTAGAAGGGAAATATGGAGGTGACTAACCATCTTGGTTAAGAGGATATTTTTAGAAGTGAAATATGGAGGTGACTAACCATTTTTGCTAGGAGGATATTTTCAGAAAGGAAGTTCTTTTTTCTATTACATTATATATGTATTTATATTATAATGGGATGATGTGGGGAATAACTATTTGATTTCGATAATTTTCAGGTGAATGATGGACTATGTTAAGGATCTTCGAGAAGGGATTTAGTAGATGTGAAGTTGGCTGAGAACAGAAAGGAAAACAATTTTCTAGGTAGGTGTGTTTCATGTATTTTTACATTAAGGCATAGTTATAAGTTAATAAAACCACACGTCCAAGGATAAACCTGGCGTAACTAGTGGTGAAACATGAACATAAGAATTACGACCCAATATTAGTTATTTTTGGAGTAAAACAAAAACATTTAATTAAAACAATGAGGAGAATTGAATGTTTGTTATTTGTATAATTTATTTTCTATACAAATTTCCGATAATTACAATTAAAATTGGTGCGATGCAAATTTCCGATATATACAATTAAAATTTCATATGTATATATCCAAGTTGCAAATGCGAGGACTGTTTCCTGTGCCGTAGATCCTGAATAGAGATCAGTGCACGTGGCCCCCAGACGATAAATGCATGGTACAGGAAACAGCCGTCGCATTTGCAACTCGCGCCCTCGCTCGACAAGCAATTTGCATAAATGCGACGTCACAGCTTGAGGTCATCTCTTGTCACATTCAAAATGGCTGCCATCACCGGACGTTTCATGAGTGCATATGGGCTCCAGAAAGATTCAAGAATATCTCGGAAAATTGAACATCATTACACCTAAGCATCCCAGAAGTGATAGATGGGACATCGTAGAATACAACCATATGTAAGAAATTCCCTGCAAATTTTATGAAAACGTCCTCAGTAGTGCGCGGACCACGGTGTGTGGTCTTAGGTTCAGCGCAGCATACCGACGGCCACACTAGTGGGGCTATGTTATGTATATGTTGTGCCCATTCTTGAAAATCACGCATTCTCGAGAATGGGCGCGCATTCTTAAGAATGAGCGCCCATTCTTAAGAACGAGCACGCGTTCTTAAGAATGAGCGCTCATTCTTAAGATTGGGTGGGAATATCACGTGCACAATTTATGAATTTTGCCCAATCTTAACAAACATTGCACGACATAATTATGTTAAATGAATTGTATAGCGGTTAAAAGGGAAACAATTCATATAAAGAGGAAAGAAAATGTTCTATGCTTCTGTACTCGAATAACTACGATAATTTGAATCAAATTAAACCTGTTATTATTGCTTTTTTCTGCCCACTATGGGAAGTTTTGTAATAACGGAGGACTGGGAACTAGTCTTGGAAGTGCTTTGTTTAGGCTAGACAAGTTACAAGTCCCTGCATGTATCATATGCGTGCCACGAAAAAAAAACGATGTCCAGAAGCTGCCAAAATTGCTCTTTTGACTAGATTATAGATAGAATCCAGCTCTGCGACGTTATGGTGGGGTGTGAACAATAAATTGGTGGCAATTTAAATGGGAAATAGCATTAGCACTATGGGATGTCGCAGTATTCATTCTCATTCTTCACATTCTTCATTCTTACGTCCCCCCCCCCCCCCCCCCCCCGCTTTTATTATCCCAAAAATCAGAATTCTTTGCACAAGTATTATTATGTCTCTTATTTTTTCCCAGTCCCCCCCCCCCCCATATCAATACGCCTTTACTTATCATATCCACTCTACTTTTTAGCGCCTTGCGTTGCAACAGTATAATTATTGAGAATCAGTGAACGAGGATTCAGCTAGACTTGCCAAGCGCAGCCGGTGCTCGGCATCGACAAGACCGTTATCTTGTCGCGCATTCTCAAGAATGTGCGCTCAATCTGGAAGAGTTATTTTTTGCCAAGATTGAGCAAGGATCCAGTTGCACATTCTCAAGAATGTGCATGCCCATTCTCGAGAATGCGTGATTTTCAAGAATGGGCACAACACATACATGTACATAGCAACGTTCACGGGTCTAGAGAGATTCATACCCTGGACTCCGTTGCGTGTACACAACGAAGTCCAACCTGGGCTATGTACATGTAGGCCTATGTACAATACACTGCTACAGTACCAGCGCCCCCCCCCCCCCCCCCCCCTATTGGCCCGGGTTTACCCCTTTATAAATGTTACCCCAAAAAAATAATGACCGTGCTACGCCACTGGCACTGGCCAGTATTATTATCTAGTCATAGGACTCACATAAGCCAGGAAGTAGATAGCAGAAGACTAGCAGCAGTAATGCGGAGAAGGGTGGGTCTTTGGAGACGAAACCAGAGACAGAATGAAGATCAGGATGATCGAGGTTCGCACGCCATGCAAAATGTACAAACAGTCTGACTCCACTTTTCTATCCTATACTCAGGAACCCGATTTACTAAAGTTTCCAAAAACACTAGGTGGCGCTTCATTTTTTTCTCATAGGGTTGCAGACCAGTAAATAAACTTCCATAGACCCCAATGGTAAATGCTCACACTTCAGAAATTCGGGAAAAATACTCACAACTCTCCAAGGTGTTCGAGACACACATCAAATTAAAGCTTATTTCATCATCTTTCATTTTCTTCTCAGGTTTTGGTGGGTTAACCGATGACTTTTAGGAGAAATTTCCATCCGAAGATGATCACCCCTGAAAATAGTCCTGAAGCCCATCGCCATGTTGAAAAACGATGCCTACACTCCATTGCAAAATAGAGCGCTTTAAGGGCCCCAATTTCATCCACACTGAACGGAACTACTAGCTCACAATCCTGTGCACGGCTTCTACCCATATTTTTTACAAACCCTCAAGTTCATGGCCCACAGCATGTTCAAATACTGAAGATCGTGATTTGGCCGGCGCAGGCAATTTCGGACCAACCTCGTCCCCAGGGTGTCAAGCAGTACGCGCCCACCACTACCTGCTCTCGCACCCTGGTATTGGATCATTTGCATGTGCAAGATTTTTGCACACGTATGCAAATGAGGAACAGTCTGGTGCCTGGAGTATGCGTTACACATTAGCGTTTGTTTTTGTATGCGGTGTCTGGGGTAAAAACAGAGTCAATTCGTAGCAGCGCGACGGAGCACGGCGTGAGTTACGAAAACACGATTTTTGAAATCAAACTGTTACGATCTTATCGAGACAACATGCAGTATCATATTTCATATTCATAAATACCTCAGACAGTTTAGCTATTCCTATTGGTCGAGAGCCCGTCACGTGGCCGGTATTAAACGGATGATAAAGACATGGCTAGCTGGTCTTAAACACTTTTTCAGTGTCACAATAAAATGTGGACTCCTAAAAATCCAGTGCCTCTTACCGTTTCATTGGTTGAACGTTCACAATCCTCACGTAGGCATGCGCAACACTACAAGCGAGTCAGAATTTTATAGTTCTAAATTCAAAACGCAACGCCCCAGGTGCGTTCTGCGTGACATCGCGCAGAACATGTTACGCGCGCGTCAATCTCCATAAAAGGGTTGTTTAGATCTTACTCGCCAGCTGAACACTCCATTATTTTGCTAGAGGGATGTTTCAAAAAGCATGAAGTGAACTTGTTGAACAAAATCGGGATTTTTTGAACGAATTATTTGAATTTTTTTTTACGGATAAGGTATTTATGAATGGGAATAAATATGTGCTCGGTCGGTATTTATCACTCGTTTAATACCGCTTAGAGTCTGGGTGCTGATAATTACCCTCGCCTCCGGCTCGGGTAATTATCAGCACCCAGACTCTAAGCGGTATTAAACGAGTGATAAAAACCTCCGGAGCACACATTTATTCCCTTATTAATATGAGCAAATGAGAAAGAAAATAAGTATTTTCGAGAAGGCGTGGACGCGAATGATCGCGAAAACACGTACTGCACGTTGTGAATAATAGCACCAAGTACACGATAAAAATCCATTACTAGCCAATTGCGGTATCCAATCAGGATCCAGGAAGAAAGTTTCCTATCCAGGGTTTACTATTGGAAACCGTGTTGGAAATAAAGTAAGCACTGGGGACGAGGTTGATTTCGGACCGATTTGTCTGCAACCATAGGGTGCACTGAACCAATTCAAGCCCCATTGAAAACAGTGTAAAATCAACAAAGTTCAGGGCCAATAACACGCAAGCTGACATCACTGGGGTTTCTCAAATAAAAATTAAATTATTGTCTTGTACTTCATCTTTTCATTTTGGGTAGACTAGCCGATTACAGTTTTAAATATTCACACCAAAACAAAATCACCCCCCGAAAAGTGATAGTTCCCAAGCCCGTGCATGTAGCCGTTTTACAAGTGGCATCCTTCCACTTTCTCAGGCAAATATAGGACCCATTTTTCAACCGTAATTTTATCAAGTCTACCCTCAGATGGAAGCCCCAAAACCAGGGAGTTGATCCTTGGTTACATTTACACAATAACACAGTTTTTGAAGCCAAACGGTCTCCGTTTTCAAAAGAAACTGCGGGGTCACTTTTTATGCTAATCAGCTTGCGTAGAAATTCTCACTTGATTTAGTTCACTGCACCCCTCAAGGAATAGATTTCGTCAAATCAGGCGGAGTTAGATTTTTTCATGCATTAAATTTGTCTAGCAGCATCGTCAAAATGAAACCATAATAAGGCCAATTCATCAGAAGGCATCCTGCCCAGTTTTGAATAGTAAGCGGTTCCACATCCTTTCAACAACATAGTGAAAGTCATTATAGTAAACTGTATAATGAAACAAAAAGGTCAGAAAAACTCCCTAAATATTAATGTCTTCATTATTACATGAAACCGTGGACCAATGCTAGGCAAATAAGGTGTGAGTTAACTCAGATGCCCTCAAGAAATGACACGACTCGGTAGGGCTTCTACCTAATCAATTGATTAACAAAAATGATTGCATATAAAATTACAATCATGGGCCGTGCACGTGCGTTGCGTACATGCATCCATATCGTCAAACTACAAAAAAAAGGACACCCACTTTTGACAGCAATTTTCACCTACTCAATGAATTTATTTGAAACATTTTTTTCACATGGTAGTAAAGTACAGGCCTTTTATCCATGCATGGTGAAAAGAGCTTAGTAAAAGTCGCAAAAATCGTGATATTATGCTAATTTGAATACAAGTCACAAAAATCATTCTTGTCCACGGGTTATTCTATGTAAATTAGACGTTTTCGTAGTTCAGAAAAATCAAAAACCTTCCCAACAAAATATGTTTTGCCTTGGTAACTTTTATTGAAGCTTTTTATTCATGTTAGTGTTAAGATCATATCTACTCAATGAGCTGTCGGCTTAAGTTCATTGTTGCATAACATTACATAACATAACAATCAAATGGCATGCCCTTGGGCTTCATTGCTAATGTTAGCGCGTGGTTTTTTTTTCAAAATGATGATGTTCATGCATTGGTGCATTTGCATGTACATGCATACCTCCGTGGACAAACAGGTTTCGCACATGAAATGTTCAAATTAGCATAGCTCAACGCAAAATGTGCAAATGCAACGATTGTTTCGTCGCAATGGCTTAAAGGCCAGTTTTTTAATAGCCACTAGTCGACATTTAAAAATAGTATTTGAAAATTGGTTTACCACCCTGTACATGTATAACAGAACTGGCGGGTCCCTTCACCGTGGTGCAGTTCCCCTGTCATACACTGCCGCAAAGTTCTTGACAAGCTTCAAATTCAAATACTGGTACATATACTTTCTGTTTGAACCCTTCTGATTAGTTTTGGTGTCATGAAATTTTGTCACGGCAACAAAAAAATATGCATAATATATGTCAAAAAAGCGGCGTCCCGAAATTGGTACAAAATCGGCCGAGTACGTGTTCCCCGTAGTATAGGGGCCTACGTGGCGCACTTGATCGAACAAACGTCGGACAAACTCAAAATTAAGTTCACATTCAAGATTTTTGTTCAAAGTTGACAAATTCTGTTAAACCATTATCTCCACTCGCATATTCAACTACATGTTTGTGACAAAATTATTTTCTTATTTTTGAGGCATTTTCATAAGAGTATCAACAACGCACTTCAAAATAAACTCGGAAAATCGCGCCGAAGTAAAAGCCTCGCTGGTATCTTTGTTAGAGGAAACTGTTTATAAAGGGAAATATTTAGAGATTGCTCAATACAAGGATTGATAAAATACTGTGCAATTTGAGGTTATTGCTCTATGCTAGGCACTAGATCAGGCGAAAAATACGAGCGCGCCACGTTTCCGGGCCGCGCAACGTTAGGGGAATATATTAACAATACTTTTACCGCCCCCCAAAAACAGAAAATGAAATTTCACGCTTAGCTTGTTCAAGCCACACACCTGTCGCCATGATTAAGTTCCCTCCGCCCACCAACACTTGTTAATTAAGCGAAAGAAAATTGCCCTGTCGGCGACTTATTTTGATTCATTGTGCTCTAGCCCCTTAACGTGTTGGTAATGGCAACAGAACTAGACTGTCAGCAATCCATTCTTGTTTTCAATTGCCTGATTGAGAAATAGATTTAAGACCAGAATTAAATCTGGAATGGAAAAAAACGTGATTACTTCTAGCTTATGCTGCGCATATATAGGCGCGGTATTAAAAACCCGCGTGACTCGCACTGTTTGCAGCATATAAAAGGCGAGTAGTGCGTGCAGTGCGCTCCAAACGCCGCTGGCCATGCAGTCAGTTGTTATGCTTACACGAGTTTCCATATATTCTCCTCGACGGTAAACTACGACCAGACAGCAGACACAGAGACAAACCTAGCCGTCAGGCAGAAGATCTTAGACAATAAAGGTAGGTTGTTTGCCACACTCAAAACAATTAGTTGAAAGAGGAGCGTGAAGTTACAAAGGAATTTGTTTATATTTTGCTCATAATTATCTATCGCAAAGCGCGGTTCCAAATTGACTAGACCATACGTAGGAAATGCCCGGTTGTACATATAAAATGTAGGCCTTACAATTGACATAGGTTTCTAACATTACTGTTTGGGCATACCCTAGGTGCGCCCATGCACTGACCTCTGATAAAAGAAGTTATACAGTCTACTTTTCCCAGCAATAATGGTATGCAGGGGCGTAAATCCGGGGTGGGGGTATTATATTCCCCCACTTCTAGACCAGAGGGATGGGCTATTGAAGCCCCCCCCCCCCCAACACACACACTTTTTCTTGATGAGAAAAAAGAAATGCGGATTTTGAGGTATTTTTCGAGCATCCCAACAACCAAAATGTATAAATTAGCACTAAAGTGGAGAAACAAAGTACGAAAGCCTTTAAAATGCGCCGTTTTGGTGTAAGTGTATACATATTGATAGAAATATCGACGGAGTGTGGTGTCTGCCCCCCCCCCCCCCCCCCACTCGCCACTGCCGCTGGAACAAATTTTTGCCAGGGGGTGCTGGAATTTCTAAAGGACGGACAA